TTACCTTAAACATTAGTAGTTGTACCACCCCAGAGCGGGTTGTGGCCATTTAAATCTCCCATACTGATACAAGGTTTCGGGAGTTGGTCATATAAATTTTGAAGGTCAGTCTTCTGAAGATTTGAAGACGGTGAGATGTACAAAGAGCATAATGTGAACGCAACATGTAACGTCAGTCGTACGTCAACCGCCTGGGCTAAGTATAACAGGGCTATGGATAACATTTTGTTTGATAAGGATCGAAGATCCTCCAGTTGCCCGATCACCTGGAGGTGAAAAGGAATGGTATGCACTGAAATGGCGTAAATCAAATGTATCCGTCTGTTTTGAATATGTCTCCTGGAGACAAATGGCTGATGGTGTGAAGTCCTGGACTAATAGCTGCAAATCATTGAAATTATTCTTTAGCCCTCTGCAGTTCCGCTGTACAATATTATTAAAAGACATTATCTTTTGGGGGGATTTATTGGGGATCTTCCCCGCACTTTTTTGGGGGGGCGACAAGCTATGGACGTTTTCAGATACGTCCATGGCCTCAAGAGATCCATATTTGTTGTATAGCTGAATTTTATTTTCCAACCCTTTTGGGGCTCTGCCACTTTGTTTTTGCTTCGGTTTAGTTTTTCTTTTAACAATTTCTTGAGTATCAGATGAAGATTGAGACTGTGAACTTGACTGAGAGGATGACTTATGATCAGAAGATGACTCTGACTGCTTTTCGGACGTACTAGGAAGTGATTCCGTAGTTTGGGATGATATAGCGGGATACAAAAGCTGTGGATTGTCGCCTTTGACCCAAGTGAAGTTTGTTTGACAGCTTGTGGATGATGTATATACTTTACGGCTTGATTCAGTTGATGTTTTGGCTATTGAAGCATAACTTTCTGTAAGTTCAGAGCTCTTTACAAGTTTTTTGGCATTAGAAAAACTGATGTTCTGGGTGAGTGAGTGAGTGAGTTATAATTTAACGTCACATCGGCAATATTTCAGCCATATCGTGACGAGAACATTTGAGTGAGTGAGTGAGTTAATATTTAACGTCACATCGGCAATATTTCAGCCATATAGTGACGAGAAATGTTTTATATAAATAATAAATTAAAGTTGCTAAAGAATCAGTCAGCGAAGGACTGTAAAATAACTAGAGTATCACAGATGGAGTCTAAAACTAGCATGAACATGTAAAACTATTTTATTTACGAAGACAATACAATATAAAAAAGGGCTATAGATCGCCAAAAACTGAAGGTAGATCACCATACTAGGAACCATGGGGACTTACATTACTTTTGCTACCTGCATGGACCCTAGTTGGATTTACACCATCCCTTCAGCCATTGGCGACAGAAGAGAAATCTAGCCATAAATTAAAAACACACTTATTCTACGATTAAAAAGCAGGTACACTTAGATTGACTAAATGTTTTGGGACTTACGTATCCTCTCAGGAGGACAATAATTTTACAATACTTCAACCCCCTTTGAGGATACAGCCACTAACAATCTCAGTTGCTAATCTAAACTACCAATAATAAAATATATATCTATTTACAAATCACTCAACAAATCTAATTCTTAAAAAAATGCAATAATTAAATGAGAACTGACATTATTAAAAAGATCCTTCAGAGTTTTGGATTTGAAATAGATATCCCTTGTGATGGAATATTCAATGCAGTCAAGCAAGACATGCTTGACTGTGATCCTTTCATCACAAGGGATACAAAACGGAGGATCTTCGCCTTTCAATAAATATTCATGAGTATATCTGGTATGGCCAATGCGACATCGTCGCATAATGACCTCTTCAAATCTGGACTGACAACCCAAGTAGGTGTAACCGATATAGGGTTTTATTGCATGTAATTTATTGATACCTACTTGGGTGTCCCACTTCTTCTGCATCAGATCACGGATGTAAGTTCTAATGCCAGCTTTATAATCAGAATATGGAATAAGAAGTGGTGTCACAGATTTGTTGAGTGCTGCCTTGGCAGCAAGATCAGCCATTGTGTTCCCAGAAATGCCAACGTGGCTGGGTAACCAACAGAAGACGATGTCGCATTGGCCAGTAGCAAGATCATTATATAAGTCGATTATTTCAATTAAAAGTGGATGTTTGCAAGAGAGATTTTTAATAGCCTGAAGGCAAGAAAGAGAGTCAGAAAATATTATATATTGTTTACGTTTGGGATGTCTTTGAATATATTTAAGAGCTGTTAAGATGGCGTTTGCTTCTGCTGTAAATATAGAGCTGTTATCCGGTATTCTAGAAGATATTATTCTGGATCCAATGACAGTGACACATGCCACTGCGCCACCATCCTTGGACCCATCTGTAAATAAGGATTTGTATGTATTATAATTATTCTTTAATGGATTATATTCTTGTTTATACTGTAATTCGTTAGTTTCGGATGTTTTAAACTTTGTCAGTGTTAGGTTAACTTGTGGCCTCACTAATTGCCAAGGAGGAGAAGAAAGAAGACGGGAAGGAGATATATTCTCCAACTCAATGCCAGCAGCAGAAATATATTGTTGGATTCGTATCCCAAGAGGTGGAACAAGTGAAGGTTTTTTATTATACAAATCCTCATAAAGAGGATTAAAAACGCAAGTGTGAGCAGGATTGGATTTATAAGAATATAACTTTGTGATATATTGTAGGGACAATTTGATACGGCGAAGTTTTAAAGATGGTTCATCGGCCTCAACGTAGGGACTGTCAATGGGAGAGGTTCTGAAAGACCCAAGACAAAGTCTTACACCCTGGTGATGGATAGAATCAAGTAGTTTGAGGTTGCTTTTACAGGCCCCACCATATACGATAGAGCCGTAATCAAGTTTCGAGCGGACCAGTGATCTATACAAATGAAGGAGGGTGGTTTGGTCCCCTCCCCACTTTGAACTGTAAACGACTTTCAACAGGTCGAGTGCCTTCAGGCATTTGGCTTTTAGATGTTTGATATGTGGCAAAAAGGTTAAATGCGAATCAAAGATGAGACCAAGGAATTTAGCTTCCTTGACAACTTTGATGGGTGTGCCATTTAATGATAATTCAGGATCTTTATGGGGTTTGTATTTCCTACAAAAATGTAGACAATTTGTTTTGGATTTCGAAAATTTAAACCCGTTTTCAAGACACCATTTATGAATTTTGTTTAGACAAATTTGTAATTGTCTCTCAATAGTTCGCATGTTTTTACCACGGCAAGAAATATTAAAATCATCCACGAAAAGAGATCCATCGATTGAATCACTTGAAACCTTTGAAAGACTATTTATTTTAATACTAAAGAGTGTGACAGACAAAATACTGCCTTGTGGGACACCCTGATCCTGATTGTAACAATCAGACAGGGTAAAACCCACGCGAACTTGAAATTGCCTGTCCGTTAAAAACTGTGATATAAAAAGAGGCAAACGGCCTCTCTATCCAAAATCGTGTAAATCTCTTAAAATACCATGTTTCCATGTTGTGTCATATGCTTTTTCTAAATCGAAAAAGATCGACACTGCATGTTGTTTTTTAATAATGGCATTTTTAATAAAAGATTCTAAACGCACTAAATGATCGATAGTACTTCTGTTTTTACGGAAACCACATTGAATGTCTGTTATGAGGTTATTAGTTTCCAGGTACCACACAAGTCGATTATTTATCATGCGCTTCATGGTCTTGCAAACGCAGCTAGTTAATGAGATTGGTCGATAATTCGAAGGATCAGTATGATCACGTCCAGGTTTAGGGATGGGGACAATAATAGCATCGCGCCACGAAGAAGGAAATTGTCCAGAAGTCCAAATATCATCAAAAATGTTTAAAAGAGTTTCTGAGCATGATTCCGGTAAGTGTTTCAGGAGCTGATAATGTATGTTATCAGCACCTGTAGCCGTATCATGAGCTTGATCAAGAGCAGTATGAAGCTCATGAATAGAAAACAGTTCATTGTAATCTTCCCCATTATCTGAAATGAAATTAATAGTTTTCTTTTCCTGTTGTTTTTTATAATTTTGGAATTCAGGTAAATAATTCGACGAGGATGAGTGTTTGGCCAAAGTTTCTCCAAGTTTATTTGCAATATCAGATTTACTAGTTAATAATTCGTCTCCATCTTTAAGATGCTGAATGCTAGATTTAGAACCCTTACCTTTTATTTTCTGGATCATATTCCATACTTTTGATATCGGCGTTCGTGAATTTATTTTTGATACATAAGTTCTCAAGGATTGACGTTTATTTTGCTTGAAGGTACGCCGTGCCTTAGCATTTAAAATTTTAAATGTATTCAAATTATGGACCATAGGATGGCGACGGAAATAATTTTCAGCTTTCTTCCGTGCCTTCCTAGCTTGTTTGCACTCATTGTTGAACCATGGTTTTCGTATGTGTGGAATTGCAGAGGATTTGGGGATACACTCATCAGCAATGTTAATTAGTTCATCAGAGAAAGCCTTTATAGGATCAGGGCTTTCTATAAAATGTTCAGGTTTAAGTCTGTTACAACACAGAGCTTGATAGAAAGGCCAGTTAGCCTTCTTAAAATTCCATCTTGAAGATGGGGTAATATCAGATGGGTTAACGGATGTAAGAATTGTAGGAAAATGGTCACTTCCGCAGAGGTCATCGTGAACTGACCATTCAAATTCATTCAGTAGATTTGAATCCGTGATTGATAAATCAAGCGCCGAATAACTTCCAGTGCCAGGATGTAAATAGGTGTTGGAACCATCATTGTATATATAAATCATTATCTGAACAGAACTCTTCTAACAGTTTACCTTTAGCATTAGTAGTTGTACCACCCCAAAGTGGGTTGTGGCCATTTAAGTCCCCCATAATAATACAGGGTTTTGGTAGTTGGTCATAGAGAGTTTGAAGATCAGTCTTCTGAATGACTGAAGACGGTGAGATATACAAAGAGCATAATGTAAATGCAACGTGTAAAGTGAGTGTTCTGGGTGAATTTGATCTTGTTGATCTGCATATGTTGTTTCCAAATCGGACACTCTTTTGTGAAAGATGAATGTTCTCCTGAACAGTTAGTGCATTTTTTCAAGGTACTTGTACAATCTTCAGTTGTGTGTGTCTTCTCACCACAGTGAGCACACACAACGGACAATGTGCAAGTATTTACACCATGTCCATACTTCTGGCATTTAAGCATCTCCGCGGATTAGGAATGTAGGCGTCAACTTTGATATTGCAAATAACCTGCTTTCAGTGATTTGGGAGCAGTTGGTGACGAAAAAGAAAACAGAAAAGTATTGGTCTGAACAGTTTCATTGTTTTTACGGATTGAAAAGCGTTTTACATAGAATACACCTGGATCTTTCATTTCAGTCACGATGTCAAGTTCTGACATGTCAGAAAACAATCGATCACGATCTCTGATGATACCTTTGCTTGTGTTTAAAGTCTTGTGAGCACAGACAGCGACCGGAATGCCGACAAACGATTCAGTGCTCAACAGATTGGCTGATTGCTGCCGTTTCCCGCACTCAACCAGTAACGCACCTGAACGTAACCGTTTGATATTCTTAACTTCGCCGGCGATACCTTGAATACCATTGGAAACCGCGAAAGGGTTAAACGTTAATGGTGTTTTGTCGAGAGTTTCAATCACAAGAAAGCGTGGCCAAAAGTCAATTGATTTGGACGGTTTAAGGTCATCATCATCAGGATCATTTTCAAGAGGACGTTTTGTATTTTTGGTGGGGATTTCATAAGCCATGGTTAGTGTAGAGATTTCATCATCCGAGCTCCCCACCCACCACGGAGTATCACAAGGACAATGCTAAAACAAGCGGATCTCCGACTTAAAAAATTTAAAGATTCATGATTCCACCAGATTGGCCCATGAGCCACCGCCTTCTGGGCATACGACTCTAGGCAAAAACATACATGAAATTGTGTAAATGAAATTCCCAGTTCCAAAAATTCCAAAGACTAAATATATAAATGCATAATTCTCAAAACGTTTGTGCAATAGTACATAGACGTAGCACAGGGCTTGGCGTAACCAGCCGATTGATAGAACCGGGCCAGTTCTTCCACCCGTCTAGGTGAAGTAAGGGGCGAAGTGGTGTGCTGGGCAGAGGAACACTGTTCCTGGAACCAGTGCCCTCAACCACCAGACTCCCGTCCTCCACCGACACAGGGGCGCAACCCACGGCAAACGGGTTGGTTGGCCAAATATACCCCCGGGTCCACAACGGGGGGTTGAAGAGCGCTTAGCCTTACCCAGCACCCACTAAGAGGAGGTGGCTCTTCACGGGTGCCTGTAACTGGTTTGAAACGAGTAACGTGACCTTACAGACATTTCCAGCGGCATCACCAGACCTGAACCCAATTAAAAATGTGTGGTATATTATGAAGGACAAATTAGAAAAGTTGGAACCGAAGAGTGTCGTTGAGTGGTCTAATCTCATCAGTCAAATATGGGTGAACCTACCCCAGGACAACACAGGCAATTTGATTGACAGCATGGGTCGCCGTATTCAGCAGTGCATCGAGAGAATCGGTGGACTAACAGACTATTGACTTGCATTAATGTAAACTTCAGTATCCAGAGTGGATGTATGAAATATATAACTGAATTTATCAGTAAATAAATTTTGAAACTACGTCTGTGAAAAGTCGCATTTTTTCTGCTCGTCACTGTATATGGTATACAGGGTATATATGGTATACCGGGTACATATAGTACACGGGGTACATACGGTATACAGGCTATATATGGTATACCGGGTACATATAGTATACGGGGTACATATGGTATGCAGGGTATACATGGTATACAGAGTATATATGGTATACAGGGTATATATGGTTACAGGGCATATAGTGAGTGAGTGAGTGAGTTAAGATTTAAAGTCACATCGGCAATATTTCAGCCATATCGTGACTAAAACTAGTTCTAAATTCATAATACATACATATAATAAATAAAACCCTGTCAGCAAAGGACAGTAAAACCACTAGGTTATCACAGATTGAGTTAAAACTAGCTAGCAGATATCTGTAAAAGTACAAAACTATTTTTGGACAATACAATGTAAAAATGGGCTATAGATCGCCAACAACTGAAGGTAGATCACCATACTAGGAACCATGGGGACTTATATTACTTTTGCTACCTGCATGGATCCTAGCTGGATTTACACCATCCCTTCAGCCGCTGGCTATTGTAGGAAAATTTAGCCAACAGTTAAAATAACAAAAATACTAAGATTAAAATGTGATAATTTATATTTTACTTTGAAAGTTTTGGGGCTTACGTACCCTCTCAGGAGGACAATATTTGTACGCTACTTCAACCCCCCTTGAGAGTACAGCAACTAACAATCTCAGTTTCTAATCTAAACTACCAATAATAAAATATTTAGCTATTTACAGATCAGTTAACAAGTCTAATTCTTTTAAAAATTCAACTATTAAATGATAACTAACATTATAAAAAAGATCCTTCAATGTTTTGACATTGAACTACTTATCCCTACAGGGCATATAAACCGCCTCCGTGGTGTAGTGGTTAGAGCGTCCGCCCGGAGAGTGGAAGGTCGCGGGTTCGATTCCCGACCACGTCATATCAAAAGACGTTAAAATATGGTAATTGTTGATCCCTGCCTGGCGCTCGGCATTAATGGGTACTACAAGGACTGGTCGGCTCAGAGTCAGTATAATGTGTCTGAGTGGGATATTCATGCTTCACTTCGGTATGGTATCTCAGTGGGCTAGCACTATAAAACCAGCTTCAGTCTGGGCTAGTACAAGCAGCCGCACATACACATACACAAGCATGCACGTCGTCATATGAGCGAAATATTCTCAAGCACGACGTAAAACCCAATTTAACCTCACCTCACTACAGGGTATATATGGTATACAGGGTACATATGGAATACAGGGTACATATGGTATACAGGGTATATATGGTATACAGGGTATATATGATATACGGGGTATATATGTATACATGTATATATGGTATACAGGGTATTTATGGTATACAGGGTATATATGGTATACAGGGTATATATGGTATACAGGGTATATATGGTATACAAGGTACATATGGTATACAGGGTATATATGGTATACGGGGTATATATGGTATACGGGGTATACAGGGTATATATGGTATACAAGGTACATATGATATACAGGGTATATATGGTATACAGGGTACATATGGTATACAAGGTACATATGGTATACAGGGTACATATGGTATACAAGGTGCATATGGTATACAGGGTATATATGGTATATAGGTATATATGGTTTACAAGGTACATATGGTATACAGGGTATATATGGTACACGGTATATATGATATACGGGGTACATAGGGTATACATGGTATATATGGTATATAGGTATGTATAGTATACAGGGTATATATGGTATACTGGGTATACAGGGTATATATGGTATACAAGGTACATATGGTACACAGGGTATATATGGTATACAGGGTATATATGATATACGGGGTACATAGGTGTTACGGGGTATATATGGTATACGGGGTATATATGTTATACGGGGTCCTAGCTGCTGGGTTCAGATATAATGGTATGAAAATTGCACATGATTATTCTCTACAAATATCATCTGAATGACAGTGTGGTGTTAGTTTGCCAAAGCAGGTTAATTCAAGCTATAGTCTGACAGACGCACAACGGTGGTTCCTGCAAACGGAAAATGTTGTTGATCCCAGACACCAGATAATACAACATAAACTAAGTGTATCAATACCGTCAAGAATAGAACATCGCATCTCTTCCCTTTCTTCAGATTCAACTTACGGTGTTTGAAATATATATCCTGAAAAATACGTGATAAAAGACAACTTACATTCTCACTTTATACTTCAGTGCGTCGTCTCCTTGAAGATGGTTGATGCCGTGTAGACCTGTACTCTTGACAAAGTCCAACCAAATGGATCGGAAACGTGAAGTTTGATGTATCCTTTCCTGTGGTACCCAGATAGACCAAGCAGGCATCCTTCCAGGTGGCTTTCTTCGGATGGCTTTTGAAGTCACTGGTGAATTGGAGCCCGACCTAAAATGTGTGCACACCGCTTATATCAATATCAACAAGCATGACTCATGTGCGAGAATTACAATGTAACGAAACATGACCATAAGTTCAACTATAGTGCGACTATCCCGAGAGGGTTTCTTGCCTGCATCCAATTAACTCTCATTTTACATTTGGTCTCTTCTTATGCAGCAGACGCGTGAAGATCCGTGTTAGAATTGGTCTTCAGCAACCCATGCTTGTCGTAAGAGGCGACTAACGGGTTCGAGTGGTCAGGTTCACTGACTTGACTGACACATGTCATCGTGTCCCATCAATGCCCTTGCTGTTGATCACTGGATCGTTTGGTCCAGACACGATTATTTACAGACTATTGCTAGTGCAGCGTTAAACAACCAACCAACTTATATTATAACTTATATTATAAGCAGTAACCCATTTCGAAATATGGCTTAGTTCACCAAATAGTGGATGATACGCGGTGGAAGCAGATTGTATCACAGGCATCATGCGTCGCATCTCATTCCCAGCCAGCTGACATATGAACACCAATCTGTTGAGAATACTATTGCGTAGAGCCGCGGAGCTGCTATCTACGTTTTGAAGCTGTCTAATGTATTTTATGGCCAAATTATTTGGAATACGGAGAAAAAGTCCGCAGTTAATCATGAATACCCCACTCACACACATTATACTGACTCCGAGCCGACCAGTCCTTGTTGTACCCATTAATGCCAAGCGCCAGACAGGGGCCAACAATTACCATATATTAACGTCTTTTGGTATGACGCGGCCGGGGACCGAACCCGCGACCTTCCGCTCTCCGGGCGGACGCTCTAATCACTACACCACGGAGGCGGTCGCCAACGTTTGAAACTTGATAATCCTCTCTAAATGCGGCACCACCTATTCAGGGACGTCTTGACCAGTGAAGCTGAAGCCACAAATGTTTGTTCCAACCAATTAAGAAAACTAAATCTGAAGAGATTCGAATCCACGAATATTAAACTATCATGGAAATCCTCTGCCATCGTGGTACAAACTATGATGACATTCTTGTTGTAGAACTCATTTGTATTTTTAACCATGTACATAAATTGTCTCGTGATGCGTATTTGGCTCTGTCTTGACTGCTAGTCTGTGGGAGATGAACTTCGGCATGTTTGCTCCCCTTGTTTGTTAGCTTTCATTAATGTTAACAGCTTTCCTTAGAATGTATGGTGATTATATCTGCTGTCGTGTTTGTGTGGCACAGTATTAAGGACTATAGAGGACTTCAGATATATTTCGAAGACGGTTGTCTTGCATTGCCACTTCAGTGACAATAATTATAATACTTTAACATTTTCCTCGTCATATGAGACCTACTTGTGTTCTGATATTCATAAATTGAGATGCTTAAACTAAGACTGCATTAAAGCCAAGTGCACACAATCATATCATGTGTTATATTTGGGATTGCACTTACTCAGTAAAGTACCGAGTCTACTATCTTTGTTGGGATTCGAACCCACACCTCCAGAGTCAGGCACCTAATCGCCACCACACTCATGCTGACTCTCATGTTTATGGTTATCAACAGCCTGACGGAAGTCGAGAGTTCCTAATAGAAATGCAAATTTAATCATGTTATTGTTCATTGTAAAGTTTCCTAAGAAAGTTCGGAGTGATCTTTGTTTCCTCAAACGTTTTAAAAATGTATGAAGGCATTCGAATTCTACGTAGGAAATGCAAAGTATTGTCGCATGTGTTGTTGATAGTCAGTGTAAACCATAGAGTTGACGTCAGCCTAACAACACAATATGGTTTCAAAAGGTGTGTCCAGGAAAATACAATGTACGTGAAAGTCAAGCTTTACAGCGAAACCCTCTTGTGCCAATGAGTTTCAGTAATCCATTCATATAATTTTCAATACGATTGTGCGCTTCATCCCCAGTGTATCGACAGGTAATCGATACTGATATTGGCTCAGCGTCTTGTATCTTCATGTCACTCCCTGCCTGTCCATCATTTGATGAGTGAATCAGAAACATGGCGGTTGTACCATATGTTACATTTCAGTTCTGATTTTAAGGTACGGCCGATATATTGAGTAAAATTGCATGTACTAGTATTTCAAAATGGCATTTATGTACAGATTGTGCAGTTCAGGCGCTGTTTATGTTTTGACCTTGTTTTACTTTCATCAATGCGTTTTAAACATGCGCTCTCCTGAACAACTAACATACATAACATCAGAGACAACAGAATCAATGAAGATAAAACTTCCCTTGCTCTCTTCATGTAGTGATGTCATCTTAAGTCGTTCTATCGGTTTGAAATCTGTCTTTCAATATACCCGCAGTAGCCTCGTCAAATAGACTATTTTAGGCTATAAGGTTGTGTTTGCTCAAACTGTGAACTCCGCAGTTACCGCGACATGCTTTTAAGCCAAGTGCCACGGGTCAGATACAGTGTGTGAGTGAGTGAGCGAGTCTGGTTTAAGAAGTATTCCACCTTAACTACCCGCCAACCCCCCAAACCCCGTCACATGATGTCAAACATAATCGACGTGAACCTGGGTTCGAATCCGCGATCAAGGGTCCCTTTAGCACAAAGGGGCGGAGCACTGCACAGGGAAAGGGGCTAGGAACTTCATACTAAAAATAATGTTCCTTTTAATCCCTTGTGATAATTTCTGACACGTCAGTAGTTGAAGCGTTTTATATGAACAAAAGTTCACTATCTGTTACGGTTGAGGAGTGCAGAGAGAGGAACAGCCTGGTGTGCGAGAAATGCTCAGCACAGGTAAATGAATCAATAGCACACCTGGCTCTTCCTCTCTCTGCACTCCTCCCTCGTAACAAATAGAGAACTATTTCTATATTTCAATGATAGTTTGTATAATAACTTTTTTATTATCAAATTGAAATTCATGAAAGTAAAAATTCAGAATGGTAGAACAATTATAATGCATCAAGCAAATTAGAACACGATTGTACTTTTGAGTAAAGTGACCATACACCGTCACGAAAAACTTTCTGCTAGACTGTACAATAATCTTTAACTGAATATAGTAAACCAACTTTGAATAATAAAAATTAGAGTATCCTTACATGTTTCCAGTTCCAGTCTCTCTGTATGTGTAGACCGATCGACAGCGGGACCACCTGTGCCCGTTGTAAGGCAGCTGGGCGGTTTTAAACCAAAGAGTCTCTGTAATTCGTCGTCAATATTTCACCAATGTCGCCTAGCTTGTCATCGATTGTGAAACAAACTAGAACGCATTAATCCTATTTCACATTATATTCCCGTCATGAAACTACAGTGTCATACATCATTCATGTATCTACTGATGATATGAAATTTGCCCACGAACACAATTTCCACTTTCAATCGATTTTTGATCTTATGAAACCATTAACAAAATTATTAATACCTTTGACAATACACGGGCCTTTCATCAATGTGCATGTGTAAAGACGGCCTTTGGATAAAAGGGACAATTAATATAAGAGATAAATGAAAGTTTCACTGTGTGTTCGTACGTTGTTCAGACAGCTGATAGTGTTCCTGCTCGGAAATTGTCCTGCGCCCTACCAACTGAATAATCAGAAGTTTTCCCAGTTGATCACAACGATAAATATTGTGTATAGATGCAGCGTTGCAACTGTAGGTTCATAGAACATTGATGAAGACGAAGATCTACATTCATAGCCATGTAAAGGAATTTAAAATGGAAGATATAACTCTCGTCAACGACGCACATGCAAAGCAAGGAAAAAATAATTAATCATTTATAACATTCATATGAAATATATGAATTGGGTCCAGTTTGGCCCACAAGTCATGCATCATTTAAGAAAAGGAAACCTTTGTGGAAGTTAAGTAGATATCAATGATAATATAATTTGACTTTGCACCAAAATAATCGATTATTGATCATGCGTTCAATGGTTTTGCAAAGGCAGATTGTCAGGGAAATCGGTCGATACTTTAAGGGATCGGTATGATCACGTCCAGGTTATCGTGGGCTGACGATTCAAATTCCTTCAGTCGGTTTTAGCCTGTAATTCATATATCAAGAAATGAATTATGCTTCTTGTACCATGATGTAAATATGTGTTTGAACCATCATTATATATTGTTGTTTAAAATGAAATCCTCCAGAAATCTAAGTCCAAATATTGTTTAATAATTCACATAAAAAATAATAAATATGATATTAGAAATTCATAATTCATAAACATATCTTTACAGTAATTCATCTCACATAAATGAGAGTCACACACTCCATGCCACCAGACACTTTGTAGACAATAGATGCCTGTCTGCACTACAGTCACCAGCCACTTGACGCAAAATGAAACTATGCGTTTGAAAATCCAACCTACACAAGATTTGGCCATGTCTTACAATGGGGAACATTCCTCAGTTATCTCCCTTTACCGCTTCGCCAAAAGATGGCGCCAATCACCACGGTCCTAAGTGTACTTCCGATATAATCATGGCGTTCAAAGTTTGCAGCACGGTCGATTTCAAATGCGCAGCAATTACTATGCCTGAGACGTTCTGCTGTGCCTCGGGTTGCTGCAGTAGAGGTGGTTCGACGTGTCCGAGAGGTCAAAACTTGCTGAAATGGTGGTTGACTGTTATTCGAAGTAGCGACGAATTAAACAAAAGCATGACGAGGTAGCCGTCGGCTCTCGCTGGTCTCACTCTCAGTTTTGTGTGCCTTTTCCACTTATGACAGAGCGTTTTTATTACTGTAACTAATTATGGGAAGTACCACGTATTTTGTACTTTTTAAAGTTTGAAGAAAACGTTTGTTATTGTTATTCTCCTTGCCAAATTTAGTTAACGTGCATGACAACCGAAATTACGAGCAGGGGTTTTGCATCAATTCACTGTCATCCAGGGAAAAAGAATATGTTGCTTCAAGAGGGACACACGCTGTACAAAACTTTTCACGCGAAATTAGGGGCCTCTCACTGTAGTAATCATCAAAACTTACAGTACACAATCTTTTCGCTTTACAAAGGGTGCCGCCAAGCGTCACCATCTGGAGAGTGCCAATGATGTTATCTTGTGAAATCGGCACCACAGTGAAGATTAGCTATAATTTAAACAGTGCCTGTAGTAGTTAGCCTTTATTTATTGTTAACATTGATTCAAAATTTTCCACCGTACTTAAACACAGCTATTGGATTCTAATTTCAGGTTAATCTATTGAATCTATTTTGAACTATGTTTCAATTATATTTTAGCAAAGCATTCATCACTTGATATTGCCTGTTGATTTTACCTGTTTGTCTTCTCTCATACAGCACATCAAAATGACAGCACCTGGTCATGCATCTTAAATACAGTTGCCAGTTTGATACTTAAAATTCTAATGTATGTGATATTTCCTCATGTGCTTATTTCTCCTGATGACAAGTAGGTAGAGTAGGCGAGTAAATTGGAACAGACCCAAATTTGTTATTTTCAATGTTTGAAGGTAATTGGCATTTCACAAGTAAATTTTCATGTGAACCTGTGGGTTAACTTTCATTTGTTTCTTTTTAAAAAGCATCATTATATACTTGACTACAACACCTTTGCTCCCTTCATTGTTGAATTAAAGTTTTCCAAGAATGCTAATACACAATTGACTTTTTCCCTTTAATGCATCTCCCTACAGGTGCCTGTTGTCCACAAAGAAGAGGCCCAGGTGATTCCAGAGTACACATGATACAGGTTGATGTTTGTTTCCTTTTGTATGAATTTGTCTGAATAATGTCTGGTGTACTTGTTGAACACACTTCAGGGATTGGGATAGAGAACTTTGACAGTGGGCCATTTTCAGCATTATTAGCCATTTTCTAAATTTAGAATGGGCCAATGCCCTTGTATCAATAGTAAACTTACAAATTTTAATGGGCCATTTTTTATTCTAATATGCAAAATGACCCATGGTCCCTGCCTTTCCCAATCCCTGCACTTCTTTGTATCAGACATTTCTCCCTACAGAAAAATAGTTAACGAGGAAAGTTACTCGCTTGATAACGGTGTTAGTAGGTACACCAAAATGTCGCTCATTATTATATTAAAAAGTTGTATATCCATAGAACTCTCCTCGTTGTTCATCACACCAACTTCTAAATGCCACCCAATAAAGAAGGAAAACAATGTCTGTATACTTAAATTATGCTTCTCCATAGTTGAAACATTTGTTAAGAATAATGTTTTCTACCTTTGACTTATCCCAATGAATATGTTCATCATGTGAGATGTCTTTCTCCACAACAGTAACTTAAATCTGATAATGATACATTTTCTCATAACTGGCAGTCATAAGATAATATTACCCTGTATCAGTTTGGATAGTAATGCTCCACTGATGTTTTCCAGGATGAACACCTCTGAGGCAAGAGAGAAAAACAGATGCTGGATGACCAGTTCTTTCCCTGGACTGTATCAACTGACCCACTTAATGCTGGTGGATACTTGTGATGTTGAATGTAACATCAGTGAGGTTCCTGGGGAGGAAACAGCCACCCATGATGGCAAGAATATTGAGCCAAACATTTTCTCTCCAGACTGGGCAGAGGCCAAATGTGAAAGTACCTGTATATCAACACAGAGAGACAAACATGCAGTGCTTCCAGTACTAACTATTATGAGTAGTGCTGCAGCAATTTTCATTTACACAGTACTGTCAAACTATTCACTGTTGTACTTCCATTTGGGGTCCATATGCATGTCACCTAAATTATCTGTACAGCAATATTGATAGTATGATTGTCAGTGTGGAAAACATCAACATGCTTCTGGTGTAAGCGTTAATCAAGGTTTTTCAAAGTATTTATGTCTATATTTATGAATGTCCATACAAGCAGAATATAATATGTTCAATCATAAAAACTGAAATGACAACCCAGACTTTGTTGCTTTTTGGCTGATGATAATTGACACATGAGAATAATGCTAAGTATTGTAGAATCTCAATTGTACCATTAAGACTACCATTCAAAAGCTAAATTATTCCTTTTTTCAATATTTCAAATGCACACTGTGTTCACTGACACTGTGACCCCATTATAAGTGTGATGAGCCTTGATGTAATTTGCACACCCTTCACACATGCTGGAAAAGCAAATGTGAAATATTTTATTTTCAAATCTAAAAGGCTCCGACCTTAAAGGACAATGAAACCGATACCCCCTTGCTTCTGGCATCCGATAGTTCACACCTCCAGTAATGGTTCAATGTGTGTATATATATTTCAGAATTTCACTCATGCCAAGTTACATTATTTGACAACACCTGAAACACAATTTCAAACAATATTCTTGTGTTTTCAAAATGTGATCTGACATTTAGGTACTGGTTATTTGTGTAGAGAAGGGACAGCCTTTTAAAATGGTAAAGATTGGGGTGGGGTCCCAAACGATACTTAGAAATATATTATGCATGCAATATGCCAATTTACTGTACATTTTTTGGATTGAATAATGGCCTAAGTGACCGTTCATAGTATTTTTGTGGGGAATGTGGGGTGTGAGATGATGATGATTTTAAGACAGGTCACCTATTTTGTTCTGGAAAGTAGGGTTCATCAATTTTGTACACATTGTACTAGGGGGGTCAGCAAATTTGCTTAAAATTATGGGATCGGGGGTGGGTTTAATTGATTTTGAATATGACATATGCAAAGGGGCTGTCACTTTGTACATGAATTGTAGGGAGGTCATTCACATGTTTTCTTCATAAAAATTATCACCACCACCCACCCCATTAACTATGAACGGTCCCTGAATATGTAGAAACTATAAACAGGAAGTTGTGTACTTATTTATCTTGTGAATGGGTGCAGTATATTTTGTTGAACACACTGTCAGCGAGTCGTTAATTCGATAGAAAATTATTTATGTTTCAAATCCTCTCGAAAACGATACGTTGCCATAGCATTTCCTCTTTCCATTGCATCCCGAAGCGTTATAAGGTATGACAATAGGTTGTTTACGTGAACGAAAACTGAAGCGTAATCAGGTCAGTGCTAACGTTATTTGTTTAAGGCTAATTTCAGTGTACACTGAACATATGTTCTAACAACTACTACGACGCCATTAATTCTCTGTGTAATGTGACATAATGGGGAGTAAATGGTTTGACGAATTTACAAAGCAACTGCTCAGTAAGAAATTCCGAGAAACGGCAATATTACAATAACTGCAGTACCGTTCTGTTAGCATTATTTTTCGTCCAGACATGCTAGTTCTTCGTGCTTTGAGCACAGTTTTCAGTTGGGGCAACTTCCAGCTTCCGTAATTCGTAATATAAGAATCACAGATTAAAAAGTAGGTTAAATGTCGATTTAGTTTAGACTTGGCCGATAAACAGGCCAGTATCAGAGAAATAGCTACTGTTGGACCGTAACTACCGCAGCGCTCCAAGCGGGCAAGGGGGCGCAACTCCAGGAATGTTCCACATTCATGTAATAATTATTAATGAATTTTGCGTCATACTACATAGCTGTACAGGTCTTGGCATGACTGTAGATTGATAGAACCGATAGAACCCATTCTACAGCAAGAGTCGATGTGGAGTTTTACAAGCTAAAATGCGCTATTCCATTAACCAGTGCCCTCAACCATCAGAATTCCATCCTCAACCGATCTGGTTGATGTTCTAGATCGACTCGAGTATAACATTCCTGTAATCATTTGGTTTCCGTTTGCTGGAATGCCTCTTACGGATGACATCGCCTAGGTTGGCGCTCCGTGGGAGGCAGCTTGAAACAGGTTTTCTGGGCCCAAGACGTTGGTAAGCACAATTCAAAACCAAAACGGCAACTCTTGATATCATAATGATTTCCCATTTCTATTGGAAAAGTTGCTGTACGATAAAGCGGTTGAGTAAAAATATGTCACAAAGGTACAGTCTTGTGGTCTTTTTGTTGAATGCGCCATGAAATCCCAAGTTATTTATTCTAATGGCATCAGCCATATTGGATGGCATTCTAATGGCCTGTTCGACACACAAGACCCTTAATTTCTTCAAAGCCTTATCGCGATAGAGACCCAGCTGACGAATCAACTGTAACTGAACTTACAAGTCAAGGTGACACTGAGACCAGCCGAAGCAAATATCATAAATATGCCTCTTGGTATTACTATGCCTCTTGTATCCCACGCCCTACCCGTTGTTTCAACTGTCTGACGTTCGTCCATTGGTAACCTTCATCTGAGAACAAGTTCACTTGCTACAGATGAGCATAAATGGTAAATATGAGGCCACTACAGAAAGCGTATTGTGAGAAGAGAATCAGTTATTCTGATGAAAGAAAACAAGAAACCCGCACGTCCAGCATATGCTTCTGCAGTAAAAAAGGTGACTGCATAAATACTCTGACAGACAGAGCGGACTTGGGTGACATCTGAACATCCCAAATCCTTTTTTGGGAGCAGTACTTAACACGGTAAGTTCAAACTTAACTCCAGATCCAAGGACAAAG